TCCCTAGTGTTGTTTTGAAAATATCTTCCTTGCATACTTTGGCACCGAAATCTTCTAATAAAATTCTCATATGGTATGTAAGGAATTTACTGAATACACATAGTATTTCCTCATAGAAGCTGTCCTTCATATCAATCTGAAATAAACTCCGCGTTTCCATGAGTGACATCACATAACCCCACTCCTATCATTACGGAACGCTCGCTAAACACCCCTCCCCGCGAGGCTGTGACGTCATGCAGCAGGCAACTCCGTGCAGTGACTATTGCTAGACAATGCATAGGTAGAAACACCTGACAATACCTGATATCTGTTGCCGAGCAGCAAGGTGTTCTCTATGTTGTCCATGCTGAGCCTAAATAAGGAGCAGCAAACACTATTCAGGAGTAGTAAGTACTGAGCCAGTTACTAGAGAGAGAGAGTAACCAGTCAGTTGCAGTCTAGCATTTGCCAGAGTGAATGGAAACAGGAGTGAGTTCTGATACTGTAGATGGCAGTAATCGTATAATTGTGTAACAGCGAGTGTTCAATAAATTCGCTATATCCAATGCGGCATGAAGTTATCTGTCGCGTTATACACCCAACACGTGACAATATTTTATACTGTTGTAATGTTCCACATAAACAACTTTTGTAACTGGTCTGTATTTACTGAGTGAGAACAAGTTCTGTATCCATCTTGTGGATGTCTGGAATACTGAATAAATACTAATACTAATACATACAAAAAGGTTGTTCTTACATTCTCATGCCATTGTGTAATGCACAGCACTTACATCTTAAGTATGGGAAAACACAATTCTGTATGACAGGTAAAGGTTAAACAACTATGACACAATTGGGACATAAGAGATGAATGCTTCATCTTTATATTAAGAATCGAAGTTCTCCTCAGTATCTTGCTATGCCTCAGGCTTAAGCAACATTGCCACAATTTTCGTCACAAATTCCCCTAAAGGGATATGCGAGCAAGGATGGATATAACATCACTGGAGAACTACAACTCTGTAAAAATTTGAAAACAGTACCAGTGAATGATACAAGAATACTTTTCTAGATGGAAGAATGCAACTCATCATTGGGTGTGATACCAATGGACACATTTTGTTGCGGAACACAAGCACCAATACAAGGGGAGAAAGCCTTATGGAATTTCTGATGAGTTCAAACCTGAATATTCTAAACCATGGTAACAAACTTACCTTTGTGGTCTGCAATAGAAAGGAGGTTACTGACTTGACACAAGGGGCAAATAAAGTAGAAAACCTGGTAAGTAACTGGCATGTATCTGGTGAGCCATCTTTATCGGACCACACATACATATGCTTTCAAATAGGTAACGTAACAACACAAGCTACATTTAGGAATCCTAGGAGAACCAATTGGGAGTCGTACAAGGACAACCCAAAGGTGAATCTGGAGACTATTTCGCGAAGTATACGCACAATAAGGGACATAGATCGATCTGCTGACCAGTTGCAACAGGCTATTATCTTGTCCTATTATCATAATTGTAGAGCCAATACCACCCGCTTACTAAGAAATGCACCTTGGTGGAACAATAAGCTGAGTGGGCTAAGAGCCAAAACAATAAAATTATTTAATACAGCAAAAGCGGCCTCTGTAGTCTAGGGGTAACGTTCCCACCTCATGACTGAAGTTACGCAGGTTCAAACCCGGCGGAGGTTGTGGAATTTTCAAGGGTGGAAAAATTCAAGGAACAAGTCCTCCGGGAGGGACTTTAAGCCGTGGGTCCCGTGTCATAGATTTACGGCACATAAAAGATCCTCGTATCTCTAGGAGACCTCTGAGCAAAATTAGGCAAAAAGTTTCCCGCCCAAGTAGTTTCCAATGCCTCCGGTAGATGGGGAAAGTTATCGGGTACCAGTACCAGTACCAGTAGAGGGCCGACCTCGCTGGCAGAGAGGGAAGAATTATCGGATACCGCTGCCAGTAGAGGGCCGACCTCGCTGGCAGAAAGGGGAGACAGCGGGCACCAGTATCAGTAGGGTATGGCGACAGTAGAAATTAAAGTGGGACATACAACAGACTATTAGTCATGCTGCATGGGGAAACCCACCCCCTCTATACTGAATAAGTGAACTGAATAATATAGCAAAAAGAACAGGGCTGTGGGACACCAACAAGGAAACCCTCATCTGTTATAATAAAGAAATAAGGAAAGCCAAACGATCCTCATGAAGGACATACTACCAGATCAATGATGTACCAGGCAGTGCCAGACTCATGAAGGTCATAGCAAGAAGGTCAGTACTGTCAAGCTACCTAATGGTAAGTACACCCAAACTGGGAAGGGGACACTGAAAGAACTGTTCAGAGTTCACTTCCTTGATTCAAAGCTGATTGATGACTCAGGTGATGGGCGGGGCCAGCACAAGCTGCACGTATGTGGACATATAACGAAGAGGGGAGACTGGAACCTGGCCAGTTGGGTAAGCAATCAATCAAAAATTACATGGGCGTTACGTACCTTCAAACCATTTAAGTCTGTGGGAATGGATGTAATTGCACCAACACTTCTGCAGCAAGGGGTAGAACATACCCAGGAAGCCCAACAGTATAACACACGCAGTCGCAGGAGCACGACACAACAAAAGCACAACACACAAGATAGTGAAGGAGTGCTCCAACAAAGGAGAATGGGCGTGACTGACGTAGTGAGGGGCGACGTAGCGATGTGGTATCCTGAACAATTTTAATATTTTTAACGTTTGACAATGTATATGATAGATACATATTTTAGTTATTTTAATGTGTGAACATGGCATGCAATGAACTGGTTTGACGTGGATAAGTAAGCACCTGAAGATGGCATTATTATGCCGAAACATGTAGTGCGAGGGAGAGAAGGAGATAAATGAGTGTATGCACTGCAAGACGGATTAAATAAATCATGGAAGGGGTAGAACATCACACCTATGCCACATATTCAGAGCTTGCATGGCACATGGGTTTATCCTTATTGCCTGGAGACAAGTCAAAGTGACATTTATTCCAAAACCCAGGAAACCTGAGTATTCCAAGGCCAAGGCTTATCAATCTATCAGCCTGTTGTCTTTCCTTTTGAAAATAACGGAGAAAGTTCTAGAGAGACACATTAGGGAAGGTGCATTGAACATTCATTCTCTGCACCAAAACCAAAATGCTTACCAAATAGGTACATCTACTGAAACCACGCTGCATAATGTGGTAACACGCATAAAAAATGCTATCAAACACAAGGATATTGCCCTTGGAGCATTCCTTGATGTAGAGGGAGCCTTTTGATTGAACCTCTTTTGAAACAATAAAACAGGTTGCTGAAAGGCATGGCATTGAGCTCGCAATATGCAGTTGGATCTGTGCTATGTTGGAAAGCAGGATTATAAGTGCTATATTGTTTGGAGACACCCTGAGGGTGTCTGCGGCAAGATGGTGTCCAGAGACAGGTGTTCTCTCCCCTCTGCTGCGGAGATTGGTCCTGGATGGTCTTCTTTGGGAGCTCAACAGAAAAGGTCATTTCACAGTAGGATATGTTGATACTTACTTACTCATGGAGCTGAGCCCTTCTTGAGAAGCTACCAATTGTGGAGCTACTCAATAACTTCCCAGCATTTTACTGAACCTGAAGGTTCATCATTGTGTAAACAAGAGCCCCCCACTGGTCCCTATCCTAAGCCAGATTAAGTCCATACCACCCAATCCTATCTCGCTAAGATCCATTTTAATATTCTCTACCCACCTACAGTTTGGCCTTCCTAGTGGTGTCTTTCCTTCTGGCTTTCCCACCAATATCCTATGTCCACACCTCTTCTCCCCCACTCAAGCTACATGCACTGCCCAGTTCATCATCCTTGACTTGATCCTTCTAATTATATTTGGCGAAGAGTATAAGTTACAAAGTTCTCCAATTTCCCATCACTTCATCTCTATTAAGTCCAAATATTCTCCTCAACACCCTGTTTTCAAACACCCTCGGTCTATGTTCCCCCCTTAATGTTAGAGACCAAACTTTCTACCCTTACAGAACAGCATTCACTTGCTGGTTCTGTGCCACCTCTGTCCCATCTGACCTCCTGTACTCCCATTAAGTATAACTTACATTTTGACATTTCTTCTGCCACTGTCCTGAGAGAACCTGCCCTATACAGGCTTCTTACATTCCATGTCCCAAATCTTATGCCCATTTTCTTTAGTTAGATCATTTATCCAAATAATCTGTCGAGACCCAAGGCCTTTTGTGACATTTTATATGTTAGAAAAAGTAAAGTTGTCCCTGTGCTTAACGAATTAAGCAATATGCCATGAAAGTGTATGGGGAGTGGATGTACAGATCCACATTTTCTTGACCTCAGCACTACCTGGAGGTGAGTGGTCAGCTTCATGCCCTGACTGCTTTACCCCAGTGGAAAGAGCCCCCTCGTACCCATTCAATAAGATGTTGGGTGGACCCCAGACATGGTCTCAGCGACCCAGAGAAGAGAAAATTCTTGATCCTGCTGGGACTCGAACTCTGCCCCTAGGCTGTCCAACCCATGGCCAGTCACTATACAAACTATGCTATCCTGGCTCTATGTGACAATTCGTAACAAGCATATTTTTTATGGTGATGACCTATTAGCCCAACACCAAACCCCAAAGCTGGAGGACCACCCACTGTTGGCTGTCCACAGGTGCTTATTCGGTATGTATGTATGTATGAAGGGGTAGGCCTTCTCGGCCCTTGCACTTAGACCTCAGTGTGCTTATTCAGTATATTCAGCTACCATCCATGTATGGAGTGTCTCCTCCATCCACAACCTCAGGACGTGCCATGCAGCAGTGACAAGGGACCCACCCAGGATGGGTCATCTCTTTTAACATATATACAAATTATATAAAACACAAAACTTTCCTCCAACCATTACTCAGGCATAATCATGGAAAACTTAACAGACCTGCTTCATGAGTTCAGTCAGTTCAGTAACAGAGATGAGGTTAAGAAATGAATGACAGCCTACCTCTCTCTTCTTTTAACAGGTGTAAAAATATCATCATCATCATCGTCATCATCAGCCTCCTCATACATAGCAATATCATCTGAATCTTCCATCATCTCATCTTCTTCATAAACACGGCCTCGCTCATCAAGTGAAACAGATACTCGGCAACTGCGCATATGCCGACGACGGGATCCCACAGGTACTAGAACAAAACATTCTGAATAACTCTCCACTGCATATATGATTCTTAAAATGATATACTTTATTCATTCATGGAACTGAGGCCTTCTTGAGAAGCCGCCAACTGTGCAGCTACACAGGAATAACAATTTCAACCTCAAAAGGGCTAGGATCAGGTACTAACAGCTCAGCTGTATGGATCTCTATCTGCCTAATAGCACTGACCCTATGCACATTCAATAACTGAGAAAAATAGTTCTTCCACCTATTCAAAATGTTGTGGGAATCTTCAAGCAGATCACCATTCTCATCCTTCACTAAGTTACATCTAGGTTAGCAACCCCTCTTAAAGTCATTTATTCCTCTATACAGGTCTCTAATGTTTCTGTTCTTACTGTTCCTTGCAAGCTCATCAATTTTGTCTTCCAGATATTCCTTCCATTTATTCCTGAAATGCCTGCTGGTTTCACGTCTATATTGTTCAGATTATCCCAAATTATATACTTACCTGCAAAAAGCTGTCCCTGCACTTAATTAATTAAGCACCATCCCATGACATATGGGGGAATTGGGGTATAGCATCTTGTATCTCACCCTCAGTACTGGATGAAGGTGAGTGGTTAGCTTCAAGTCCTGGATGTTTTACTCCAGGTACCAATTAAATAAGAGGCTGGGTGAGTCCCAGACTCAGTCTGAAGGCTGTGGAGGAAAGTCTCTACCCTTGCTGGGAATAAAATCTCAATCTTCAGCCATGAAGCCGAGAGCCTAACACTACTGACTGAGCTTTCATAGCTCCTACACACACCTGTACATTTAAAATATTTATATGGATGGATTCCCAGCAGAAATAAAATCTATAATCTAGTTTTCTCAGTCAAGCAACTCTTGGTGCTAGACATGAATGACCTAACTCATGCTTTCGTAAATTCTACCCTCAATCAATAAATAAGTTTCAAATTAGCTGCGCTGTTGGGGTTTTTTTATTAGTATTCCCAGTACACAGCATCTTAACAGTCTGTTACACAAGCAATATTTACTGATATACAAGCATGACATAAATTTTATATAACAAATATAAAACTTATACGGTGACTACATACTATATCATGAACCCAGAAAAAGCACTTCTTTACAAGTGAACGACAAGAGTTATAAACTACATGGTAACACAGTGATGAAAGTATTTTTGAATGTGAGAAACAGACCATTTCCTTTAAGACTTTTAAGTGTAACTGACACCAAGAGCCAAATTCTACAGCCTCCTCTCTATGTACCTGATACTGCAGATCATAAAAAACCAGCATTCTGCTAGCATTACTGGCATCCAGAGAAAACTCACTTTCTTTCCACTATTAGAATAGACTGCATGGATTTTGATGCAACAAGCAACAAACCCTTTTCCTATTGAGTTCATTTTAAGAAAATTAAAATATTAATATTTCCATAGAAAAATCATACTCCAGAATATAAATATGGATAAGGTACCTTACAAAATAAATATTATGTTTGGTAAAGTTCTTTCACGTAATGTTACCCATTTCCCCCTTCATTTCATTCTGTCTCTTGTCTGGCTGCTAGGCAAAAACAACACGTTTTATAGTGTAAGAGCAATCAGTATCCAATGTTGTATATCACTTGGCGGTCATTTAATACACAAAGTGGTCATTTAGCAGCACAAGAGACAGAGATAACAGAAAATTGGTCAACATAAACATGAAGGGTGTTTCACTCGGGGCAGAACTCGGCATTTCGTTAATAACTCGGATACTAATAAAGATACTGCAACGAAATTTTAACAGTACTGTAAAGTAGCACGTCTGTTCCATGAGATATGAAATGTGTGTGTAATGCGCCATCTGAGTCTCGCGACATGGAGTAGCAACAGCGTCGATGTGTCGCACCCAATAATCAGCTGTCCTTATCTGCATCCAGTGTGTCGCGCCAGTCTAGCCCCTGCGTACTCACCTCTGCTGGTCTCATTTGTTTTTGTGCTTTTGGCTGAGGGTGTTTAGACAGTGCAGTTGTGCTTCTCCAGTGCTGTTCGGCAATGTGAAGTGTGTACACAACAGAAAAATGGATCGGTACACCCTGGAGAAGCAACTGTTTATTGCGCGTGCATATTGGAAAACAGAATCCATCAAGGCATGTCAACAACAATTCCTGGCGAAGTTTGGAGGCAGAGTTCCACCGAGTAAGTCCAGAATTTGGGCCTTGTCCAAAAAACTTGAAACCAAGGGGACGCTTTTGGATCAGCACACAGGTCGTCCAGCAATGTCAGTGGAAACGATCCAGGATGTGAAGGCGCGACTGCTGGCGTCTCCTAAGAAGTCACTGCGCCGAGTTTCACAGGAATCAGGTATTTCGACAAGCACTTGCTATCGTGCTGCGAAGAAATCTAAGCTTCATACATATAGAATCTCTGTGGTGCACGAGATAAAAGAGCCAGATTACGCGAAGAGAGTGGCGTATTGTCAATGGTTACAGACCCTTGTCCAGGATAATCTGGACATTCTTGACTACACTTCGTTTTCGGACAAGGTGTGGTTCCATCTTTCCGGATATGTTAATTCGCAAAATTGTCGCATTTGGGCAAGCAAGAATCCCAATGCAATACACAAAGAACCCATTTATTCCAAGAAGATTGGTGTTTGGTGTGGAATTTCCCGGCGGCGCATAACTGGACCCATCTTCTTCGACACGACAATCCCAACAGTAGCGTACCTAGATATCTTCCGCTGCTTTGTGAATCAAATGGACGATGAGGAATTATCCATCAGTTATTTCCAGCAGGATTGAGCAACAGCACATACCTCGCGCACATGCATGGTCGAAATACAGTCTTTTTTTGGTGACCGCGTCATTTCCAGAGGACTTTGGCCACCGCGCTCGCCCGATCTAACACCGCCTGATTATTTTTTGTGGGGACATTTGAAAGCGCAAGTTTATACCAACAAACCGCGAACCATAGAGGCTTTAAAAGCAAACATAAGTGAGGCCATCCAAGAAGTGACACCTGGCGTACGGGCAAGGACTTTCCAAAAAATGGCGTGCCGAGTCCAATGCTGTCTGGATGCAAATGGTGGCCATTTCCAGCACTTGTTATGATGTCACCAGACTTCACATGAACTGAGGTAAGTCCACTCCAAATTTTGTTGCAATATCTTTATTAGTATCCGAGTTATTAACAAAATGCCGGGTTACGCCCCAAGTGAAACACCCTGTATATGCATATACAGTCGGTAAAATTGACTCTAATATTTATTGGGGGATATCACTGCTATCAACTTCATACAAAATTTTATTTAATATTCTTCTAATATTTGTGATCAAAAAAGTTCAAATAAACATGTGTCCAATTTTGGACGGTTACGGAGTTATGACCGTTTTTTCATTCCCGTATACGCCCTCGTAAGAACCGCGTCTGTCATCTGGTAGGTCGATATTTTTAGCCAGCTACAGACAGAGCGTTCTCGTTATCTCAACACATGAGAGCTACCTAAGGCGCGGTTCACAACCAAGCGGCAGCCTGTGTTGCAGCCGGCAGTGGCATTTTCGAAAATCAGCTTTAAACACCAATCAATTCAAATTAAAGGTAATTTCATGAAGGTAACTTTACATTCATACTTCAAATGTATCATGTATTATGCTGGGTTATTATTTTGTTCCGTTTATTGTCAGTAATCGTTACCTTCTATTCTGAGTTTAAAAAGGTCATAACTCCGTAACCGTCCAAAATCGGACACATGTTTATATGAACTTTTTTGATCACAAAGACCTAGGAAATCACCTCCTGCAGTTATGTCCTAAAGTCGTGAAATGTCCTGTATATATGGCAACAATGCAAAACTTTGAGGTCATATCTGAGAAATTTTAGGGACTCACTTCTGTAAATCAAGTAATTTTAAAAGAAGTGTTAGAAATGTGATAAATAAGGTGAAATGAAGGTATGGGGGAAATCATCCAAAAATGCAGTGAAGTGAACTGTGATGATGTGATGGGTACGAAAGTGTAGTGAAGTGGAATGAAGGGAAGGCCATGGTGAAATGTGAGTACCTCAGTTCATGACATCATGTATTTTCTTACTGTTACCGTTTAGTGCATAGTATGCTTATTTTGTTATTAATATTAATTTATTTCATTGTAGTTGTAACTATTCATTGTGTGTACTGTGTCCTTTATTATTTGTGTAGTTTTGTGTGCTGTGTTCTGTTTGAGTGTTGTGTGTTATTTTGTGTCACGGGTGTTATTTGTGAGTTGTCTTACTGTAGTACCACTGCCACCAGGTAAAAACCCATTTGCAGTTTAAATAAATAATAACAATTAGTCTGAGAACTAGTGCAATTTAGGCATGTAAACAGAATAATATACTATAAAGGTAAAAGGTAAAGCTATCCCTGTAACAGGCCATGAAGACCCATGGGGTTGTGAGATGTTGAGGCTCCCACATTTTCTAGACAATCGTCTCACAGATGGAGGTGAGGCCATGAGCCTTACACGCCAGCTGACCTTTACCCCAGGAAGATTCCTGGTACTCATTTCCATTAGGGGCCAAGTCCATTCTAGGGCCATAGTGCGGCTGTAAGGATTAGGACAACTGAAAAACCCAATAACCTCATCGGGAATTGAACCCACAACCTTCCAGCTTGTAGCATAGTGCCTCAACCAACTATGTTACTGCATGTCCCCCATAATAAATTGTATAATCATTAATTTATAATCCTGTTAGCCTCACTATACACATTGAAACACATGAAGGGAAGTAATAAGGAACATGAATATCTGCGCTCAAAATTTACTTAGTGACACAGTCTTTTCCATATATTTTCATCAGAGTCAATTTCAGTGTGAAATATTTTCAGCATTAAAAAAATGCATAATCCTTGGATTGGAGATCACAAACTTGTCGAATACAATGTCATTAGCTTCATAAATTTTCACAGGAATCTGCAGATTCCGTTTTGTGTGCCTGCAAGTTCTTGTATAACACTAGTACCTATCAATCAAAACAGAACAGTATAACATCTCAGTTGACTGTAATCTACAGATTCACCACCAAGACAACCTATAGTCTTACAGCCCTTATCTTGTAAAAAAATATTACTGCATCCATGCCTATTCCCAACCCATTACCCAACTGATCCACCACACAAATTGCTGAACTAAGCCCCTTCCATTTTCAGCTGATCTATTAAGCTGTATAGAAGGATAGGAAAAGCATAGACCTCCCACCTATATCAAGTAGAACAGAATGCAAGACTGACAGGAGAAAGAGTCATCAGGGATATTATGGTAGTGACATCCAGTGCAACATTTTACTCACGACTGAAAACACCATCATCACATGCTCTTAATGAAGGTCTTAACACAGATTTTTAAGAAAGGTAAATAGTGTCTTCAGTCTACCAGTTTGTTCAACATATTCATTAGGCTACAAAAATATCAAGCACACTGATGCCTGCCTTGCACAAAAACGTCCTGGCATGATCAGCATATTGTCATCGTAACTGTTATCATGGGAGACAAACAGAAGCAACAGATTATGAATTAGTATCATGTTAATGCAATACTAAAGCTGAATCAAGCAATGTGAAATCTAATGTATATCATAAGTTCACAAACATAAAACAATTCTGTACGTGGATTCTGACCCTTGGAACACCGAAGACAGCATAGACCCTTAAATCATACCAAAATATGGTAAGATATGTCAGTATACAAGCATTCTGAAACCATATCACTACCTTGTTCTGTATAATGGGAGCGCAAGGTATAGTCTGTTGTTGACGACCGGTCGCGATCTTTGTTGTTAAATACAAAACGGTTGCGTAATTCACGACCCCAGCCAGAACAAGACTGAAGAGTGTAAGACTCATTCTTTTCCACTCGGCGCTGACTGGAAACGCTCTCTACCTCCTGTAAAATAATCCATAGTTTTTTTTTTCTGATATGACGGGTCTCAAGTTCACAAATATACGCTTCAAAAGCTGAGATATTCAATGAAAACAAAGGATGCTTAAAGACGAAAGGATATCACCTCAAGAATTTCCTCTTTCACGGATGAGTGTCTAACAGGCATTGCTGCTTCCAAATCTTGAGTTACGTCGCAACTTCTTGTCTTCACCATTTTCACATGAACAACCTAACTGAGGAGTTGCAAATTCTGCGACCCACAACTTCTTTCAACATTGATACCATTCTTGGTTCTGCGGCTTCAACTCCTAGTTCAATGGCCGTTAAAGTGGTACAACACAAAGATTAATTTTTCTCTTACTAGATTTCAACTACGTCATAATATTCTTTCAACGTTCTATACATGGCCTTTTCGTATACCCATTTTATCATTCTAAACTCTACTTGTAATACACCCCTCAATTCTAAATTCTAAATCATCACACCTACACAACAGCAGCAACACCCAACCATACGCACACCAGACCACACAGCAGCCACAGGAACAGGACTGCACAGAACACTGCTAAAATGGCGGTAATTTATTGTCCATAACGTCCAACGTGTAACATGAAATATCCCTTAAATTCAGATTAAGAGAAATTCAAATTTCCAGGATTAGTTTGTATCAAAAGTGTAACTGCTATTGTTGTTAATGTATCTGACGAGTTCTCTGTATGCATATTTAGGAAAATTTCGGATTTTCTTAATTCCTGAAGGAAGTTAAAATTGAAGCACTATACCCATCCTGTTTGATATTAGAATTGGTCTGCCACTGCGAAAACGTATAAGGAAAACAGGAAAGAAAAATATTAGTGTAACCTTGGTAGGAACTGCTTTTTGTCATTCTGATATTTGCATTTTAATTTAATGCGTAAAACCTATATGAATATGAATAGTGGTTCATAGTGTAGTATAACTATTTAGGTGTTAGGTACATTGTAAGAAGAATGATATGCAACAGAAGCCTGCACCCATGTACGTGAATTAGTTTGCAGAACGGAACATCAATCATGCTTGGGCTGATCAGCAGATTAGTAACACATGTTGAAAATATTATTGGTAAGCTTACTGTTGGCCCTTATATTCACTGAATTTTCGAAAGGTGAATTGAGTATGTGCATTCCATGAATCTTCGTTACTTCAGATGTGGAATAAGTTAGTGTATAAGTATACACTACAAATGAGCAGAGGAAACTTAAATTTGTGGTACACTTAATTTAGCATAAACGAAAAATACCTTATAATTATTTCACAGTGAGTATTATAATCCCATAACGAGAATGAGCAGAATTTATTTACACTCCATAGATCATAGGTCTAAGCCAAGGATGTAGAATGTGTCAGTACATATAATTAATTATGTAACATTTAAAATTTCATGATCTGAGTGTAAGGTGAAGAATAGTGCCTTCAGGGCAAGAATGAAATAACCGTTATAGTCACTGTCATGAGATGTCAGGGTAAGAGATATGAAAGAAGGAGTTTTTTTAGTTCCAATTGAAATTGTCTTTTAACTGTCAATAAATTTTATAAAGTACACGTTTATAGAACACCGTAAAGTTAGCTGTTGATCTGTAAAGAGCGTATCTGTACCCAGTGTTCACTTTATGAATCTGATGGAACCATTTCATAGTTGTCAGTTATAAATACTGAAACAAATCTATGGTAAGGGGGAAGTGTTAGTATGAAAAATCTCTTACATAAACATGTACATGATTCAGTCCTCTGACCACCAGCCATACTTCTGATTATTTTCTTCAGCAGAAAGAATACTTTATTACAATACCAATATGTGGATAACAAAATTATTTTGTTGGCATAAAATTACATATATTACATTTTATAAATGATTGTAATTGAAATACATACATAAAAATACAATTATTGAATTTTGAACATTATCTTTCATCCTTTATTTTATTTAAAAACATTTCAGATACTGGATTCCACCTACATCCTCAGGTGACAGCCTACTCAATTAGGGCACACACATGAGGTCTTGCACCTAGAGTCTTGTGAGGGTCTTTTAATGTTTGTCTTAACATCTGCTGATGAGTTCTCTTGTGTTTGGTTTATATTTCCTGTCTTGTGTTGGTTCTCATGTCCAGAGATAGGGACTAGCTCTATCTCTTGGGCCCAACTGAGTAGGCTTTCACCTGAGGACAGGGACAGAATCCAGTCCCCGAAACATTATTTTTAAATAAAAACAGGATGATAGATGATGTCCAAAAAAGTCAAAAATTATATTACAAACTTTTAGATCATATTTATATATAAAACTATTTTTATTTATTAAATTAATTTCCTTTCAGTGGATTACATAGACTTGGACTTCACTTTGTGGCTAACATGGATGCTTACCCCTTTAATAATTACATTCCTTTTGCCTCTGATTATAGTACTTCTGCTGTATTTGTCTGCACTGAATTTTTATGTCTACAAATTACATAGGTAAGTTTACCTCCTACATAATCATTCTCATTTTTGTTTTGAGTACCAAAGTATTCATTCTGGTTAGGTTTATAGAAATAGTGGTTGATAACTGGAAATATATGAATTAGGCATTAACAAAATTTTCTTAGATATGAAATAGAAAAGCAGTGAGTTAAATGTAAATTGAAGAGTACTATCATGAGGGATGTAACATTGTTTAGTGTTGTGGAAGTTTATCCACTTCTCACTGGAATATACTGCCTCCATTTTCAGAGTTGAAGAGTAAGCCAAGCAGCAAACGTATCCTAAGTTGATACCACTATAAGTACTTTCCCCTTGGCGCTACAGCCCTCATTTTGGCCTAGGCCTACCTCCACGAAACTCTCCATTTTCACTTAGGTTTACTAGATCGTAGACATTCGGTAGGACTCCTTGGGCACGTGATCAGCTTGTCGCAAGGCCTCTACCTGTACACAAACACAGAAAAACACACACCAAACATCCATGCCTGAGGGAGATTCAAACCCACGATCCCAGCTTCCGAGCGAGCGAAGACAGTACATGCCTTAGACCACTCAGCTACTGTGATCAGCACCACTATAAGTATATAAGTACAGCAGTAGTAAATTTTCGATAAACACAGTCTAAATTTTGATATTCAGGACTGAAGTATAATTAGAAAAAACTCAAGCAGTTTATTATTACTAATTCCAAAGTAACTTATTCCTTGCATCAAAATCCTTGAGAAGTTAATAGTAACTCAACTAGTCAAGGAAATCTCTGCCTTTTAGGAGACCTGAAAGTTCATTATCATGCCAACAAGAACCTATCACTGGTCCCTATAGTGAGCCAAATTCAATCAGATCACACACTTCCACTCCATTTGTTTATAATCAATTTTCATATTTTCACATCTCTGCTGACATTTTCCAAGTTGTATCTTCCCATTATATTTTCCATCCCAAACTCTGTATGCATTTATTATGGCCCCCCTAACCCTTTCCTGTTGTAGCATTATGAAAAAATCCACAGGATGGCAAGGGTTTCTAAATGCCTGCGGAGCCACTAGGTGAGGCGTTTTGCCTGAAAAGTTGGTGCAACAAGGGCATAAAGTGAAAAAAAAAAAGCACAATGTGTACTTACATTTTTGATCGTCCAGTCCTTGGGCCAACTCAGCACTGATATAATATCTGTCAGTGAAAAGCTTGTAGTCTTCAATACCAGTCACACTAAGTCCTAGTCTGTCTGTAAAGGAAAGAACTAACCTTGAAATAAACAGGTTTTCACAGTACGTCAAGTTACACTCATTGCCTGTAAGTTTTCTGTAATTTGGAAGTATACTGTGAACACAACCAGTGTCACTTTTAGCTAATACAAATAATCTGGTGTGGGGGGCATGCGGTAGCGTAGTTGGTTGAGGCACTATGCTACAAGCCGGGAGATCATGGGTTCAAGTCCCGATGAGGTCATTGGATTTTTTTCAGTTGACCTAATCATTCCAGCTGCACTATGGCCCTGGGGTCAACTCAGCCTCTAACAGAAATGAGTACCAGGAATATTCTTGGAATATTGTTGGGAGTAAAAGGCAGCTGGTGCATAGGGCTGACAACCATGCCGCCGTCTATGAGCTCATTGTCTAGAAAATGTGGGAACCTCAACCTCTCACAACCCTCTGGGCCTCCACGGCCTGTTACAGGGATACGTTTACTTTACAAATAATCTGATGCCCCACATCAGTGTTTTTTTATTATAAATTTGGAAAGTTATTTTGGGCTTGAACCCAACTGTTGAGTCATCCATTGCAGTGCTTTTGCCTGGCACAAAATTTCTCTGTATGTTTATCACCCCATGTACTTTCTTTGTCCTTTTAATGGCCCAATTGCTTCCTTCAGTGGTATGATATCCCCACATGCATCATCCATATTACCTTAAAGAAATGATCTCATGACATTATGTCACCAAAAAATATTATCTATGTTTTCCTCTCACCAAACCTCTAGTCTTTTATGCTGGGTAATGGGATTATGCCCATATTTATAATTAGACCTTCACTTCAGGAAGTGAGACATCAGACCACCTACTCCAAATGGACCATGGACATGGCTGAAGTTTGGCAATTTTGTGTCTAGCATACCTGTCTGTCTCTATAACAGTGTTATTCAAAAGCTCATCATTGAAAAATAAAATAAAATAAACTATGGGCTCTGCATCTGGTAGAAGGGTAATTTGTGGTACTGCATTTTTAGTAAATGTGTATGCCTTGGGTTTCTTGTTGCCCCTTGTCTAGTCTTCCCAACCATCAGCATGCATTAACACTTGTTTCACTCTCTGTTTCTGACAATTCGAAGCTCGATTCTTGATGAGCAGTGGGTCCTTCAGTTTCCAAATTAATCACATCATCAGAGTCTTCACCTAACATATCAATGCTAGATTCTTCATCTGCAATAAAGTTTATTTCATGGTTCTCCAATCATATATCAATCATATGTCACTACTGGCCACTCTATTCCATGCCAACACACTCATGAATATTTTGTCTGCCTTCTGGCAACAGAAAGTTATTATTTGAACTTCTTAAGGAACCAACGCCATTTATACACTACAGCGTTTCATGCGTTAGTAGCACACTTATACGTTCGGTTGAACCTCGGCCCTATGGATTGAAGAACCATGAAATAAACTTTATCAATCATATGTTGACATTCTTCCATGGAAGCACTGTCACTGTGTTGATTATAATATTAACACATATCTGGAAAGGGTTAGCTGAGTAACATATTTGGTATTGCTCTCTTTCAGACACCGATTACGCCATGCATATGAAACCGATTTCTGGGATGGTGCACGGAAGACAGCTGCAGCTGTATGGGATGCCCATGGTTGGATCTGGCATGGTAGCAACTTATTTAACACTTGCAACTACCGGAGTTAACTTCCTAAAAACTGTGAATACTTTCTTCAGCATGAAACATGTACTGTTTATTGTTTAAAACATGTCCCCATTTAATAACAAATGCATGGAAAAGTGTAGTTGCTCAAGTCAATCTCTGTATTTAAAATTTAACCCGTGTGTAATACATACATTTCTGTATACGTGGTGTGTTCAAAAAGTATCAAACCTTTGGTCGGCAGAAATACATTTATTGATTTGGAGGTACAAAACCATAATCCCCTTCAAAGTAGTCTCCTTGGTAATGCACACACTTCTCCCAGCGCTTCTGCCATTGTTAGAAACACTTCTGGAACGCGTCTTTTGGAGTGGTGATCAGCCGGGCCTTCGCATTCCGCATGATGTCTTCTCTTGACTCAAATCGGGTTCCTTTCAGCAGCATTTTCAGCTTGGGAAATAGCCAAAAGTCACATGGAGCCACGTTGGGGGAGTAGGGAGCCTGACGAACCACAGGGATGTTGTTTGTGGCAATGAAAGTCTGAATCAGATGCGCAGATGGTCTCTGTTTAATTTTAACGGGTCCCTTGTTCTTTTGGCAGAGGGTCCTCATGTAAATCCTTTTGCCTGTTTGTGCCCAATTGTGGATGCCCAGTGTTTTTTGTGATTTATTTTAGTCCAGTCCCTGATCACTTTCTTGACAACTCCAATCGAGATGCTGCAAGCTGGTTCAGGTCCTATGAACAATTATTCAGATCCTGTTCTTGCCAGCTATCTGCAGTTTCATTCCCAGCAATGCCCTCATGGCCTGGCACCCATATTAGCTGAACTCTGTTATGTCTGGCCAGTTGTGGGATGGATTGGTGGCAGTCCCAAACCAATTTTGAAGTGATTTGGTGTGTACCAAATGCTTTGATTGCAGCTTGACTAAAATATAGATATTCCTATTTTTGTAGTTTCTATCTAAATTCTCAACTGTGCATGCCTTAATGTCATATACTTCTGCCTGGAATACTGTTGTATACAGACAAAGACCAAAACTATATTTCCTCCCTGTTCCATCACAGTTCACTCCACCTTCAGTGCCCTTATTTGTCTTCAAACCATCTGTATACCAGATTAGTCCCCCTTTTCTATTGGGTTAAAACCCCTCTTTCCATTCACTTCTATCAGGAAATCTGATCGTGAAGGGTTTATCATAGACATGTTTTGGTATCATTTTATCAGACCTCATTTGTAGGATGGGTTCTTTTTTCATGTCCTGAATCATGTATGCATGTCCAAAATCTTCATTTTTAGGTCTCCATTGATCATTGCAATGTACATGTAGTCTGTAATTTCCTAGCTTGGCCTCTGCTTCCATCTGTAGATGCAGTAGGGGGGAGTCCTAGTAGGATTTTCATTGCAGCTGTTGGAGCTGTTCTCATTGCTCCTGTAATAACCAAGCAGGCCATCCTTTGCAATTTGCTTAGTTCAGCCTGACTTGTTTTAAGATTAACTCTAGGACACCATATAGTGGCAGCATAGGTAATTATGGGTCTTACCACTGCAGTGTATATCCAATACACCACCTTTGGTTTCGGTCCCCAGGTTTTTCCAAACGTGCCTCTGCATGTTCAGAAGGCCTTATAATCCTTCCGTGTCAGTCTCCACAGCTTCTGTGCCAGCTCTGGGGCTCACCCAGATGGGCAATGTCAAATGGGTATCTACAATGAAAGTAGGGGATAATAGGGAAGGGAGAAATTATAGGATATATATGTGTGTGTGTTGTACCAACAATTTTTTCTCACTGCATGTTCTCAACTGTAGTGAGAAGATATAATAAATAACTGTAAGTTTGTATACCTCCATCTAGTGCCAAGGTCAAGGATGATGGATCTATACCTCCACTCCCCCATATATCTTCATGGCATAGTGCTTAATTAATTAAGCCCAGTGACAACTTTGCATACTTCTACAGGTTTTGACTGCATGCAGTCATCGTCAGATGAAAATACAAATAGATTATTGCTAGAAGATATACAAACTGATTTTTTATTAAAATATAATGTTATATAAAAGTGTGAAAATAAATAAAATAAGTGGATTGGTATGAAAAAAGATAAAATAAGTTGATTGGTCAGATTCAAACCAGTTATTACATAAAGCCTGCATACAATGTAAAGTTATATTATGTAAGATAACAGTTATGGCACAGATATTTGTCTAATCACTCTGGCATTTGAGTTCATGTCCTGTAATCATGTGACTCTTAGGTATTCATGGGATGGAGCTAATCTGAATTAAATATAAGAATATTGAATTTTAGTGGGTTATATGTTTCATTAGGCAAATACAATAATTAGGAGCAAGGAGAATTTTACTTAACAATTGATATGTTCATGTTTGGAGGTCAGACATTTGCTAGAATGGAGTATGTATGCTTGACAGCTTGAACTATAGAAATACGTTACATTTTGGAAAAGTGTATGTTATTTTTTGGGAATAGTGATAGGGTTTGTACTTACTGATATTGTGGAATATGTCCAGTGGCTTGGATTGGTATATGTTCCCATTCCTCTGGGTTCCTGAACTATCGCCATGCCTCGGCTACCAAGCTTCTAACAGCAGCAGCTCACAACCACTTAATTGCAGCAGTCTTCTGATTGCACTCACCAACTCACTTTACTGCACTGTACTCAGCTGTACTTTACGCACTAACTGAAGTGAACTCAGTCCGTTGAGTCATATAGCCTTGGAGCGGCCCACATAGAAAACACTGCTTCCAACAGTTCTTCCATTGTTGCCTGTGGTCTGCTGCCTATAATGGGTCCATATGCCACAATATGTTTTAGTGATAATCTGTTTGTGTTTTTGCCTGGTGATGGCCGAATGCAGTCAAAGCATGTAGGAAGATGAAATAAAACAATAAGATTTTATTACACACTTTGAGATGGTTCGTATGTATTCTGTGGAAGGCACAAACAGGTTGTAACCTAACAAAAAAGGGGGGAGGAATTCTTGGAGATGTATAGAATCAGATGGAGGTTAAATTATCAAATATTTGGAGGAAGGAATGTATGAAACTGTGAAATTTAGGAGTTACAAATGTAAGCTCTAATCCAAGAGATATTAATTGCGTTTTAAGTTTTAATTTTCTTTCAAACACAGTGGTCCAAGGTAAGTTATTATATTGTCATATCTTCAGAAATTGTCATGAATGTGTAACCATAAGCAGGAAATGGGAAAAGTTCTTGTTATTGACATTTGTTGCTGAAATTCTGAAACACTGAATGAGGATCTTGATTGCATTAGTTGAAGTACTTTTTAGCCATTTTTTCAGCAAAGTATGAAGCTCACAAAACACTCACAGTATGTGCCATCTCTGTTTGTGGCTTTTCAGTTTCTAAGGATACAGCTGTACTGCAAGTATATTGTTTGGAAGTTGGATGGTAGCAAAACCATAAACTGTAACAGGAAGTCTCCACTGTACCTTGAGGGTACTGTGCTAGTCACAGTGCATGTAAGAGGGAAGGACACCTCATTCATGGTTATCCAGAATAGTTTTGATGCTGGACACCATAGCTTTGAAGCTTGATTTTCTTCTGATTTTTGTTGGGTGCACAAATTTATTCAGTGTAGAGGTTCACTTGGAGAGTTCCATCTTGTACACAGAAATTTAATAACAGCTTTTGTTAATACCTGTGGATGTCAACAGCCACATTTCTTCTTTTGGAGAAACTAAATTATGATCTCTCTAGAATGAAATCCATTTCCAGGAAATAGTATCTCAAAGAATGCCCTACCTATTAGGACTCTATTTTTACAAGCACATGAAAAGGAATCATGTTAATTGTATTGACTGTACATAATATTGAAAGATGTTAAAAACAAAGATGATAGAATCACACAACAAAAGTCATTTGTCATGTAACTATTTTAATGTTTTTTTTTTTATTTCATCTTTTTAATTTATATTTTGTGTGTTAGAATGAAAGATATTCAGAAAGTGTTTGTACATAGATGTGTTTTTGTTCCTGTCTGCATACAGTGGGTGCCGCTTAGTGGGATCATTGGTAGAATAGAATCAGATTCTGGTCATTGCAATATACTGTACTTTTATTGCTCATTGCAATCATATTTTTGGTTATAAGAAACGAAACAATGCTGTAAAGTAATATCTCTTGAATGTATGCCCCACACATGATTAATGTAAAGGTAAGTTCTGGGTGGTAGATAGGCCAGCTGTCAACTTGAGCTTGCTACTGCCATCTCTGGACAGTGACACAAATGGTGGTTGGAATTAGCCTTCTGAAAGGAATCATTTTTACAAGGATTTTGTATTATTATGCCTGATATGTTTTCTACCTCATAGTTCCTCCAGACTTTAAAACATTTTGTCTTGCATTGGTGTGTTGTCATCCTGCCTTTTCAGTACCATTGTCTGTATAAAAGACTTTTGCAGCTTAAAATTTTTCTATAGGTAAGCATGTGACAGCATTTATAATATGATCATCAGCATATAAATGCAGGCTTCACTGTTCTGGCTTATTGAACAAGCAGCCCACTTTACTCTGTTGGTGTTAGTCCTCAGTGATCAGGGTTTGGATTCTTTTCCCCCCTTCATTATGAGTATAATCATTTTATGAAAATGTCTGAATAAGAAGATAACCAGCTTATGTGGAAGAGAAAATTTACCTTTTGTAGACTTATGACAAGCTGAACACAAGCTGGCTCGCCCAGTTAGGAGTGACTGCTTTTATTACCAGATTTATTAAACTCACATGGCACACCAAACAGTAGTGTTGCTAGAATTAGTAAAAGGAAGTATAAGGGGAAAAGTCAAAGCCTCAGTGAAGGGTTAGTGGTTTGGATTAAGCAGACAAGGTCAGTAAACACTCCCATCGGCCTTAGTATTGTCTTACAAAATCCCATTGATTTAGGTAAAATATTAAAATAGTTTTTAGCAACCTTTATATAGCTGATGAGTTGGAAGGAGAAACGTGGCTTTCATTATTGAAACCTCCACCGAAGGAAACAAGATTCAGGTGTCTTGGCAGCTGGCAACTAGCTGAGAACTTCTTTGCAGCAGTGTATATTCTTTAATACAGATGAAGCAAGGGTTTACTACAGGACCACCCCAAATCATTGCATGATTTTTAAAATAGCTTTAATTTCTGGAGGGAGAAGTTTAGTGATATAATTTCAGTTCTGTTAACCTGAATCTTGATGGGAACAGTCAGAATGAAGCCTTTAGTGGTACAAGTAAATCAAAATGCCTCAGAGTAAAAAGTGCACCTGCTGATACAACAGTTACACCAATGCTTTGATACTTGAAAATTGCCTTCAGCAATTGGGCAGTTAAAGAGGAAAAATTATAATAAATTAATTTCTAAACCTGTTTATGCACCAGTTCATGAATTAGATGAAATAGAAATGAAAATCTTGAACTGTTGCCCAACTCATTTGAGCTTGAACTTATCATGCATTTAATTCATTTTCTGCCTCAAAAACTCATTGATTCAGCTTCTCAGCCAAAGCCAGTGTGACACAGTCACTGGCACCTGCTGTAGTCCTTATAGAAATTATTTTCATATGCATTTGTGTACAAATGTTGTTTGTTTCCATATCCATGGTTTGAACCTTTCTTCTGCATGTTGTATGATGCAGGTTATGAGGTGAGTGGCATGGAAAACATTCCAGATGACACACCAGCGCTGATCGTTTACTATCATGGTGCCATCCCAATAGACTTGTATTATTTTATCTCCAGATGCATTCTCTTTAAGAACCGTTTGATTCACACGGTTGGAGATCGGTTCCTCTTTAATATACCAGGTAAATAAATACACCTTCTCCAATTGCAGTAATGAAATGAAATTTTGTGATCCAGAGCAGGGATTGTTAACCATGATGCTCACAATTGGGAGGTGTGGAGCATGGCTGAGTGTGGTCAATTCAAAGTAAATCATATTTGTAAGCCTTCATTGTGCATTAAATGTCTGTGTATTAAGTCCATCAATAATGCAACAATNTGTTGTATCTCACTACGCGAGTCACACCTATCGTCTTCTGTCGGAGCACTCTTTCTACTTTCGTGTGTGTATTGTGCTTTGTGTTGTGTCTTGCTCCTGTGACTGCGTGTGTAGGCATTGTAATATGTTTGTACCATTGTTTTTTTCTGGGGTGTTTGGAATAAAATGCTTTGAGAGAAAAAAGTCTAATAACCCATGAACCGTAGAATTTTTTTGGGGGGTGGAGGTTAGTAAGGATTTATAAAGTATTTAGTACAGTATTCTTAAGATATTTGTTTTAATGGCGAGTGTCTTGCATACAAATCATAATAATAAGCACGGATAGTCCAAAATGTATCTTATTTTCGTTTAACACATGTTACATTACTTACTGCTCATTCAAGTGTTACAATCTTAATTTTAGTAATTTAGTATCACATCTTGACCTCAGGCAGCAGAAAATCCCCTCTTCATCTCTAACTCAGAGTCTAATTACTATAAACTCAAAACAGTAAGGGTGAGAGAGATGGAATTTGGGACCATAAGTTCTTATGTATACAAAATTGCATGGAATTGTAACCATGAGTAAATTCAACAAGTAATGACAAATGAAAGGTAAATACTCTGTACACAAAGCTGAGCGGTCTGAGGCATGTACTGCCTTTCCTCACTCGGAAGCCAAGATCGTAGGTTTGAATCTCACACAAGGAATGGATGTTTGGTATGTGTATGTGTTTATTCTGTATTTGTGTTGTCCTTTGTGTAGGTGTAGGCCTTGTGATGAGCTGATCACTCGTCCAAGGAGTCCTGCCATCTGTAAAATGATCATGAAACTGAAAAATCAGAGGCCAGGGTCCAAGGGTCCAAATTAAACATTCTTCCTTTTTATTCACAGTATATATTTTCAGTATCGGTCTTCGTAGTTAAAAACATGGACAAGTATATAGCAAATTCAGATAGTCATAACATTTATATGAGACGAAGATATGAACTACATTATCCAACTTATAAATCAACCAGGGCTCAAAAGGGAGTATCTTACACTGGAATTAGAATATTTAAGAAATTACCACATAGTATAAAAAATTTTTTGCATTATTTAAATAAATTCAAATATTCCCTTAAAAAATGTTTGCAGGTGGGCTCTTTTTATTCTCTAGATGAATATTATGAATGGGAAACAAGAGATGATTGTGTTAATTACAGATAAGTGAAACAACACTAGCCATTTTTAAAACTTCTATTGTAGAATACCTATACTTCTTTAGTATTTTACTCTGTTATAGACAATGTTAATATGTATTTTATTATGATAATAAGTTGCAGTGCAAGTGTTACATGCATGTTGTATATAATTATTTAATTGCAGGTGGGCTCTTTTTATTCTTTAGGTGAGTATTATGAATGGAAAACAAGGGATGATTGTGCTAATTACAGATAAATAAAACTACACTAGTCATTTTTTAAACTTTTATTGTAAGATGCCCGTAACTCTTTGGATATGATTTTGCTCTGTTATTGACAATGTTGATATGTATATTGTTATGATAATAAGTTGCAGTGCGAGTGTTATATGCATGCTGTGTTTAGTTATAGCATTGTATCAACAGTTATTGCAACAATGGTTGTGGATATGTTGTAATATCTTAATGACGTTGTCCTCTGGATTAATTTTATTGTAACTAGGGCTTTGATGTGTTCTATATCTGGTGGCACCATCGCCAAATGTAGATCTGATGAACAAAATGAATTGAATTGAATTGAATTGAAGAACCGAAAAAAAAAAATCACAAATAATATAAATGGAGAAATCAGAGCTGTATTATATTAATATACTTATTGGTTACTCAGCAGCTCATTTGTACATAATGAAACTGTGATTATACATCACACTTAAAGGGGATAATTGATGGTTAAGGTGTCACTGAAATATAAGTTAGTTAGGATGCAATTTCAAGTAGAGTGGTAACAGTTCTTTTTAGAAAAGTTGTGAAAGTGTGTAGGTAGTCTTAATTGCCCACATAATGTAGGTAGTGTATTAGCAGTAATGACTTTTATCAAAGTAATTACACATCATTTGAACCTTCAGGTATGGAATAACCACATGTATCACAATATACTTCATTTTATGATGCTGTTACTATCTAGATATGTCAGATAGTAGGATGAGATGTGAATTTGAAAGGATTTGATAGGAAACAGTCATGTCCTAATTGAGGTCATATCTTGCAACATCCGTCAAGGGTGTATGTAAAGCCCCCCCCCAAAAAGAACTGAGAATGGGGGGTTCTGTTTTGTTCTGTTTTTAAAACTAAAATGTTCACAAATATTTAATTTCATATATATATCTAATTAAGTACATGCCGGTAACCAAGAAAGACTGTGCTAATGGACCTACATATATTGAAATTGGCTCATATAAATTTGAGGTTGTATGTAGTTTCACTTACCTTGGATCAGAAGTTAATTGTAAAAATGGTATCAGTGATGAAATAAAAAAGCATGTACTTGCAGCAAATAAATGTCTCCATGGCCTTAGGAAACACTTGAAATCCCAATTAATACCCAGGAAAACGAAAACTATGATGTATAAAGTACTTATAAGATCCGTGTTATCTTATGCCTCTGAGACCTGGCCACTGACAAGATCGGATGAAAGACTGTTAAGTATATTTGAAAGGAGGATCTTGAGATATATCTTTGGACCAGTGGAAGAAAATGGAATATGGAGGAAGAGGTATAACCATGAGCTGTACAAATTATTTAATGAACCAGACAGTATTGGATTTATGAAGGTGAAAAGGCTTGAATGGGCTGGTCACTTAATGCGTGCCAGAGAGAATAGAACCATCAAGAAAATGCTTAATACTAAACCAGAAGGAAATAGGAGAGCGGGAAGACCAAGGTTGAGATGGGAAGAATGTGTGTGGCAGGACATAAGAATTTTGTGTATAAAGAACTGGAGGAATGTAGCATCGAATAGAGAAGAATGGCGAGCAATCCTGAGGAAGGCCAGGGCTCACAAAGGGCCGTCGTGCCAGTGATGATGATGATGATGATGATGATATATATCTAATTAATTCCTTATTTTTGTGAACCAGCTGGAGGAACAGCATCAGTATTAGAATAGAATAATATGTTATGTTTAGTAGAATGGTTTTATAAGTGTGTGTGTGAGAGAGAGAGAGAGAGAGAGAGAAAAGGGGGCACATTTTTGTATTATTAGAGCCAGACATTGTAGCACGTGTCCCTGTTCTTTTGTTAATTGTAAGGGTTCTGTCTTCTGAGGTATAACGACTTGTAATCTGTTGAAAGTTGCCTGACATTCAGAGAAACATGTCGCCTCCATCATCAGGGTTGAAGAATAAACGAAATAAGAAACCAACGTGAAGCAGGCAGCAATGTTTTTCTTGCTGGAAACAACATGTTCTCCAAAACATCAGCTGACTTTCAATGAACTAAGCAGCCTTATATCCCAGAAGATGGAACTCTTCATAACCACTGTTGAGGGAACATCAAATCTTACATTTTGTTAATAAGTTTCTAATTTTTCATGCCACAAAATTAAAAAGAAAAATCTTGTCCTGTATTAATATTTAACATAATGATATGTTTGGATTCAAATCCCAAATAAGGAATATACTGTCCCCTTATTTTTATTTATTTAAAATCAGATTATATATGTTGTTCGGATGATATAGTGCTTTTGTACTCACAAAACTTTATAATATGGAACTACTGATTTGCACTAATTAATATATCATTGTAATAATAATATCATATATACATAAAAATTTGGACCATGGAAGAGGAGTAGTACATGCACTTCAGCCAAGAGCTCAAATGAATGCATATTGTAAGACAGAATGAGACATGTTACTACAGCCGAAATAATTACATTAGCAATATTTATGTTAATCATTATAATGTAGTGTATATGAAAATGCAAAGTGAAAAAACAAAAAATAAGTAAGTCAGAAATAGTGAAAAATGAACTAGCAGTTTAATACATATGTATATATATTAAATTTTCTTTGCTTTTTCTTGAGTGCAATAATCATGTGCTTTTTATTATTCATGGACCATGAATTTTACTGTAACAAGCTTCAGCTTGTATTATATCTTTGTGAAACCTTACATATTTTGAACTTGGTAAGTTGGCGGGTCTAACATTAAGTTCCTGTTGACTGAGAAATCTAATTAATAGATTTATCTTCAAATCCTCATTTAATTGAAAGAAAATGTGGTAATTTTGTGACCAGTTTAGCATGGCCTAGTATTCAGCATTACTAAATCAAAGTAAACATACAAAATTCACGTTTACTTTTAAGTAAATGACTTATGTTATTCATAATTGGTGCTTTGTAGTATTGACATGTCGCATCACTGTGTTCATCTTCAGGCTGGTCAATCATCTGTGAAGCAATGAAGGTAATACCAGGCACAGTACAGATTTGTTCAAATATTTTGAAAGAGAACAATTTATTAGCCATATCTCCAGGAGGAGTTTATGAAGCTCAGTTTGGTGATGCATATTACAGACTTATGTGGAAAAAAAGACTTGGATTTGCAAAAGTGGCCTTGGATGCCAAAGTTGTAAGTATCCCAAGCTATACACAAATTTTAATTAGTTGGAGACAAAAATACAAGTGAATATCACATGTCCTCAGTATTTTAAATCCCTCAATTTTGTGTGTAAGAATATTGAATCTGTTTTAGAGTGAGTGATACTTCAAGCTTATCATTAATACAAGGTGCTTTAACTTCATCTAGCATCATTTCCTTTACACACCTGTGTATTCTTTTACAGCCCGTGATTCCAGTATTCACACAAAATCTGCGGGAAGCATTTCGGAGTGTAGGTTTTGGCAAACGTTTATGGCTGAAATTATATACAATAACAAAGCTTCCATTTGTGCCAATATATGGGGGATTTCCAGTGAAGCTACGCACACATGTGGGAAAGCCCATTCCTTATGATGGTAATCTCACCCCTGAACAACTGCATATCAAGGTTTGTAATATTAGTAGACTTTATGCTTCACATAGACACCATCAACTAACTTCTGACAGTCATTTCAGCCACAGGTCTTTACCCTGTCATATCAGTTTCCTGTGTCCTGATATCCGGCGAGTCAAATCACATATAATTTTGCTATGTTGTGAAGTGTTAAATACACCAAAGGATTAAATTACTGAAATCATATTATGGTATCGAATGTAGAGACATTAGATAATAATACTCATTACAGGATAACCAATTCAAGACATATAAAATTGATTTAAAAACACCTACATCTCAGGAATATAACAAATATGGTAATGTTGGTACTGCTGGAACATTAATTTCCAGTGTTGATGGATAGGAAGAAGAGAGGACCAATTGTGTGGCCCCCTCGTTCACCTGATCCTACACCTTTGTACTTTTTTCTTTAGGGTTATGTAAAACCAGGTGTACAGCCAGAGAGTGAATATCGTGGATGAATTCAAAGCATGAATCACTGCAGAAATTATATTAGAGCATATCTGGCAAGAGGTGAACTATAGGTGGGATGGCACTCATTGTCAAGTGTTTCAAATCTAACAACTTTACCACTCATGTAAAAGAAATCTGTTTCAGTTGATGAATAAAAGCTGTAAAAGACACCCTCATATCTCTCTTCATTCGTAAGCTACAGGTGCCTGAAGTTGCAGCATTCTTGTAGGTACACACTGTGTTATCACTGGTACTTAACATAGATGATTGAAAGTTTATGTTGTGTAAGGAATTTAAATTCACAAGTTATACAATAAAAAATGTTAAATTCAGTATCATTTCTTTTGTTAAGTTTGGTATTTAATTTAATGACAAACCATTATCATGCATGATTTTGGTTGGTATTCCACTGAAAGCATAAATAGGCTGAGGATTATCTTCCCCATAAATCTTGATCGTGATAATTTTTAATTAATTCACTATTGGTTCAAGTATTTCTGGAAATGGGAAAATTTGTATTCCTATTTAACTATTCATATTGTCACATATTAGGGGTTAACATGGGTTCTAGATTTGATGATTGAGTTTAATGCCACTGCTTTATGATTACAATCAATTATTACAGCTCACACTCAATCTTTGCTGCCAAGGCCTCTATTCATTCTGCCTCTCATTCTATGACTGACCCTACTTTGAATCAGTTATGTGTCCTTTTATAACCTGGTGTGGACTGCAAAGAGAATACACACTTGAATGGTTCATCTGTTGTCCAGCAACAGTGAATTCTGTGTTGTGTCGGAAACCACATATTCATTCCCAAGCAACAGATCGGTTTTCTAAGTGTTTAGAACTTGTTACCTGGTACTGATGCGTTCACTGCTAGCCATTGTAACAGAAACTTCCTTAGCTGTTGCCTATCAGATGGTCATATCCTATCACAATATTGCGAAATGATCGCTGAAAACTGGAATAGTTTAATAAGAAAAGTCATCCATTCCTAGGCAACAGATACACATGCAACACTGGAAGAACTAAGTTGTATTTTCTATGCAGTCAGTCCCAAGGCTACATAATGAGGACACCACCCGAGTAGAATGAGTTAACCCATCTTCTCATCAGAGAGGATGTTACATAAGGACAATTACTGAAAGAGTACAGTTGAGGAAAAGAATCTCTGGTTGTGGACCTCAAGGCACCAGATGCCAAGGCGAACTGATTGGCGGCAAACCACTAGTCATAAAGTAACTGTGAATCTCTGACCAGAATGAGTTGGAGAATCAGTTGCATGATTCCCAGAGTTATGTGTGAAAATCATGGACATTGAACCAGGGCAGTCTGTAATGACACCGTACCTCCAGCACCATAGCTGCAATCATAGCTGGAAAAAATTCTCTGTTATGCAATGGCATCAATCAGATATCTGCGGAATCAGATCGGTACAACATGGTAACCAAATGGTCGAAACTAGTGACCTCTCTGCTGTCAGTCCTAGGCTGTATAGTGTGGACAACTGGAGGCCAGATACAGTGAAATACAAATATTTTGAGAAGACTGTGCAGAAGTGGAGGAATTCCTACCATGCAAAGCACTACTACACAATCACAAAATCAAAAACTGAATCTAGTCCATGTATTCATTATAGCAACAGTAAATATTTGTACAGAAATTTAATGCATGGTTGTCTCTTCAAGCATTGCCAGTTCAACATTGGTGACCCTGACAAAAAACAGTGCAGACTATGGACGGGTCAGTGCCAACGGAAATATCCAGTGACCATGAGACTTCCAGTGTTCTGGGCCAAGCGACCAGCCATGTGGTTCACCCAAGCTGAGGCACAGTTTTCCTTGGCTGGCATCAGCAGTGAGAAAACCAAGTTCTGCTATGTGATCTTACAGCTGAACCACCGGTACGCTGTGGAAGTAGAGGATATCCTCACCTATCTACCAGAACTAGACCCTGACACCATGCTGAAGACCAAACTGGTGAGGTGGCTGTCCCCCTCGAGAGAGCAACGCATCTGCCAGCCCTTTACATTTGAGGAGATGGGCGACCACAAGCCATCCCAGTTTCTCAGATACCTCAGGAGTCTTGCCTTAGGCATGCCAGATGACTTCCTCTGCAGCATCTGCTCCAGTCGGCTACCCTCCCACGTACAGGCCCTTCTCACTGGCCAACCTGAAGGAGACTTGGACACTGCAGACCGCATTATAGAGTCTGCACCCAAGCCGGCCGTTGCAAGTGTTACGCCACTCCTTGAGAGCAACACACTTCTGCAGCATATTGAAGTCTCTTCTGCCACGTGGCAGCATTCAGCGCTGAGCTGGCCCACCTTCGCTACAGCTCCAGGAACCACCACTCAAGCAGCCGACCCCCCATCCTGAGATGACGCTACATCCACCCTCTGCTGGTACCGTTGCCACTACGGAGCCCAGATGCAAAAATATATTGAGACCTGTGCCTACTGCCAGCAGGTAAAAGAAACGCAGAAGATATCAACAATGGCACAATTCTGCGCTACAACTACAGGCTGCCTCTTTGTCACAAACAGGATTAGTAAACGGCAATTCTTGGGCTAAACAGGTTCAGACCTCTGCAGGGTCATCCCACAATGCAAGGAACACATCAACTACAACCTCTATGCACCTGACGGCACTAACATCTCCACCTACGAATGGCTGCAACGACGAGTGCAAAACACTTCTGCAGTTGACCACCACCCTGTAGCTCGAGAACCTACCAGTCTCAGTGCCATGGTGTCGATCTACTGCAGTACCTCTGCCGAGAGACCTCGGCTGTACATTCCAGCTCTCCTGCGACTCCAAGTGTTCCAATCCGTCCATGATCTGTTGCACCCAAGCACCACTTACACCCATGCAGTCAAGGCAGCCCTAGTTGTAGGACCACCTGCTGCGCTGCCACCACCCATCGCACCGACTACATGCTCCAGATATGCTTCGATATCTGAGCGACCATCTCCGCGCAGGGGGGCTTGTCAGAACCACCAACATTAAACCAGTGCACACTGTAATGACGATGTACTCCAGCCCAGTAGTTGCAATCATAGCCAGGAATACATTTACTGCTGTGCAACAGGAATAATCAGGTATTTCCCAAAACGGATAGTACAACACGGTAACTGAACAGTAGAAACCAGTAACCTCTCTATGGTCAGTCCTAAGCTATATAGCTTGGACACCTGGTGGCCAGATACAGCAAGATAAAGATACTTCTAGAAGGCCATACAGAAGCAGAGGAATTTCCATGTATTCATTAGATCAATAATAAATATTCGTATGGAAGTTTATTGCAAGGTTTTTTCTTCAAGCATGGACAATCCCACATGTGAGACAGTAAAATATGGTCATGAGTTCCATGGGGCTCAGAACGAAGAATGACTGTTGGCAAAAGCCAGAAAGGCGGTAAGGTTCTGAACCAGTCACCATCCAACAAAGACATGAGCACTGAAGTAGAGGATTATCCAGTGTTGGGAGACACTACCAAGCAGTGACTAGTGAAGACTTCATGTGTGACTTAGTTACGGTGATCTTAGGGTGAGGGCACACCAAACGCAACCACAATTTGCAAGGATTGTTATCAGCCCGAGTTGAAGACATATTACTGAATGGAGTAGCGCAGATTGAAATGGCAACACAATTTGTGGAAAGACCGAGAAACTCAACTTGCAGGCAGTGGAGTATGCCAATCTTCTCACAATTGCATAGCCGCACGCTTTCCTAGTGTCAGCTGTTCTGTAATGCACTTCAGTTATTCATTTGTTTCTTAAGATGGCGTGAGGTTGATGAAGCTGCTAATTTTGTTTTTGTGCAGTTAACTGAGCAAGAGCCTGGTATATATGACAAATGCCACCCAGACTGGACAAAATAGATTTGGCTTGGGAAAGAATTTCTCATGAGACTTGGGAGTCGGGAGCTAGGTTAAGTTCTTTTGAAACAATATAGCACCTCAGTTTAAATTGTCACAGAAGGATGGTTGCACCCAGTGTTTACATTTCCTAATATTGTATTTAAGAATCTTGTTGCATTAATATATTATTTAGTTCACATATATATCCATCTTAAATGCAACGTATTGTATAGTCGCCCTTCTTCCACATTACATGGTTCAGCTGTTCAGGTGTCTTCTGTCTTGCTAAAATTAATTAACATCCCAGTATTTTCGTCATGGTCATCATCCTTTCTTCTCACGCAGTCTCAACCAGTCTTGACTACCACCATATTATGACAGGATCAGTATTATTATCGTCCATTGAAGAAGGTAAGTGACATAAATTAAAAAATACAGTCATGCCTTATGTTGGACGAACATACCCACTTACGATGATGTGAGCAACTAATCAAACATAAGTTTCCTCAGTGTGAGCCTGCTAATCTGGAAGCCAGTTGCCTGCTTGAAATCGGCAATATTTCTCGGAAATTGTGGTTGCATTGCAGTTGCCAGTTTCCTTGATGTTCCCTTCGCCCTTAGAGTATGTAAATCAGAGTGTTACAGTTACTTGTAGTTACATATTATAAGTCTTT